AGACGGCACCCCGACAGCAGGTGAGGCCTTCAGTGTCCGACAGAAGAATCCGGACTCGGACCCGCTGGAAGCCCCCAAGGAGCGGTGACCGCAGGCTGCGGGGGCTGTAGGGCGGCCACGCTCCCGACCCAGGCCTGGAACCCAGCTGCCCCTGACACGGAGGTGCGGCCGGCCGAGGCCTGGCTCCTTTTCACGCCCCACCGCGTGGGTGACCACGACTGCACCCGCCTCCGCAGTAGGACCCACCTTGCGGCCAGAGCGGACACGCACCTGCCCCGTGTCCTGGACGCCCGGAGGGCCCCGCCCCAATGCAGAAGGACAGACGCTTCAGCGCCGACTCTTCTTCGGGAAAAAAGTGTACTTCGTAGGGTTAAATTCCTCCCAAATACGCTCAAATTCTTCCAGAAAGAGCCTCACGTACTCCTCGTCCTCCAGGATGAGCACGTTCTCTCTGTTGTTCTGAATGGCCTGAGTGGTCCAGTTGAGGGAGCCTGTGATCAACACCTTCTTGTCCACGATCGCAAACTTATGGTGCATGTAGCCCAGGTCCTGGTTGTGCCGCACCTGGATACCTGCGAACACAGGTCCTTCACTGCCGCCTGGCCTGACCCCGCCCGTGAACACGAGCCCCGCCCACGGCCCCACCCAAGAGCGTGAGCCCCGCCCCACGGCCCCGCCCCAAGCACAAGCCCGCCCACAGACCCTCCCCTGGATGTGAGCCCCGCCCACGGCCCTGCCACAAACGTGGCCCCGCCCTGATTGTGAGCTTGGCCCCGCCCGGCTGCCCAGCCCTTGGTCTCTTCCTCCAAAGCGGACTTTCTAACACGGCTGACTGTTGCCCGGGTCCTGGGTGGTGGCTACGGGACGCTTGTCACGCCTGGACTGGTGGCAGCCGCCGAACCCAGAGCAGGTCCGTCCGGAGGGCCGGGGCAGCAGCGATGTGCTGGACAGGCCGACACTGCTCTCAGCGGGACTCTGCTCCTCTGGAAACACCCCTCGGGGTTCCAGCCTCGCCAACCCCAACAAGCGTGCATCATCCTCCAAGGTTACTACTTCTCAACGACCGGCCAGCGGCCTTCAGGGTAAAAATCATTTGCCCGGATTTATGTGCCCCTAAGTTCTCAGTCCTGTGATAACCGTCCTGTCCGGTGGCCAAGTAGGGAGTTAAGCCCCCCTGAAGCCACAGCTTCGGCCTGATACCCCCTCCCCCAGCTCGCATCCAGCCTCTCTGACTGCTGACGCCCTAAGGGAGCCCCCGGCCCCTCATTACTTCCACATCTGTCCACAGGACTTCCTGCCCTTCCGCACACGTGCCTCCTCACACTAGAAGGCTCTCCTTGCAGGAGAGGTTCTTTCCAAACCTGAGGTTCTGCAAGTCTATAAAAGCTAAACGAACAAAACAGCTGTGCCCAAACGTAGCCACGCTTCCCCCTCAAAAGAACCCAAAGATCAGGACAACTCATCACGGCCAGAAGAGCGGAAGTCCACATCTACAGTATTACACTAAGTGCACAGCCCTGCCCACACAAATGCGAACCGCGGCGGAGGAGTTAAGTGCGTTCCCGCCTGGATCGCCAGAGGGAGGCCTGCCTTCCGGGCCAGCAAAAGACCCAAGCTGTGCTGAGAGCGGGCCGGACAGTTCTCAAAGGTTCCGGTGGCCACCAGAACTGACAAATCAAACGGATGCTGGAGCAGGAATGACCTTCCTGGGTACCCGAGTGACGGAGAGGCATGAGATTCAGACTTCGAACAGCTAATACACAAAATCTCAGGCACAGAGCTCGCAGGACGCGGCGCTACACGTAGCAGAAGGGGGGAAACAATTCGCAGGTGAGGCAGGATGTGAATTTAGAGGGTCTGCAGAATCATTCACACATCCCTTTCACCTGTCCTCACCCAGCGAGAGGCAAGTGGGCCGGAGATACCTAACTTCCCTGTTGTTTTGCAGCTGGAGAAACAAATTAACCACTCACCAACTAAACATTTCAGCTCCACGTGTTAGCGCATTGTTTTATTCATTTCAGAAGCCGCAGAAGAAAATTCCCTAGTGAATTCAAGTGAAATGCCTTTCCTTCCCTCAGTCCCAAAGGAGATCACTGCCTCTCTGCACCCCTGCGCCCAAACAGGGAGATTTCTAAGCTCCTGCCAGCCTGCGAGCAGATCTACTTTTAGCCCTCACCTTGGATTTACTGAGTGCTTTCAGGCCAAGCCATCATCATTTCAGGCTGCTAAGGCCAAAAGCTGAACTGGCCAGGCTTCACTCCAGGCACAGGCTTTTTCCCCAGCTCCCAAGGCCAAAGCGGGTCATGGGAAGGCAAGAGAACCGCAGGGCTCCGTTCGCTTTCTGGGTGATCTTGGGTAGACCTTCCTCCCCAAGCCGGGATGCACAGCGGCTCCTCCCAGGACTCACACCCAGATTTCCGGCTAGAACTCTACACAGAAGCAGACCCACCGTGAGGCCAGGGCTACCCGAGCTCTACCGGGGGATGTAACTGGGTCTCCCGCCGGCGTCAGACCCCTCCCCAAACACCCCTGCAGTCCTCGCCTCCGCCCAGCCCTGCACCTGGCTTACCTGCCTTGCGGAGCAGGCCGATCTGTGAGCCGTTGAGGGCCATGTAGTCGCAGTCGCTGACGATGCGGACACGCACCCCGCGCTGGTGCAGCAGCTCCACGGCGCGGCCCAGCTGCGGGCTGCAGAAGGCAAACAGGCAGAGCTCGAGGCTGGCGCGGGCAGCTAGCAGGGCGCGCAGCAGGCGGCTCA